CCTGAGTCGTTATCAAATAAGCCTTGGTGTACCCCGTCAGACCCCCCTTAATCCCTTTGTCGGCTCACATACTGTATGTTTTATGGTGCTATATATTCTAATGGTCCCTACAACAAATGGGAGCAAACAAAAAGGAGAGAGAGAGAGAGCCAGGAGTGTTGCTTCGCTCACAAACATTGGCACCAAACAGGCCTGCAGCCTTCAGAGCTAAATTAGCCAGACTTCTCTTCCCCTCCTCTTACAAGGGGCGTATTGAGTATGGTTTGCGTTTAGGGGTAGTTGTGAAAGGAAAAAGTAAAGGGGAGGATATCCCTTACATATACCTCACTTTCGACTACAAAGTTTCAACCTTTTTATTTACAGGACTACGCTGTGTTGCCAAAACCACAGTTTTAGGCTTGTTCATGTCTAAGGCGGTATCTGATGGTTGAACCGCTTTCTGCAGAAGTCAGTAATTGTGTACTTCTCTACGAAAGAAATAGGAATCTTCATTTATTCTTTTTAGGTCGAGTATTTTATGTTGAAAGCTTCTTAACAGATTGCATCACATAGCAGAAGGTACTCTACCGATCACAGTGGCTGCTCGGTCTAAGGCATGAACTGCTCTTCGCCCGCTCAAACACTGGGATCGTGGTTTCGAATCCTACTTGAGGCATGTACGTCTGTGTGCGTTTAGCCTGTGTTTGTGCTGTCCTGTATGCAGGTAGCGACCTTGCGACGGGCTGATCTCCCGGTCCAAGGATTCCTACCGACTGTGTAAATAGATCAAGAAACTGAAAAAGCGGCCAAAGTCCAACAGAGGGCTGTAGAGCCATACATAGATAGACAGAAGGTACATAGTTTTAAAGGGTGCTATCTTCTGAGAGTCGATATCTCGTAGTTGGATAGATACGCTGAGCAAGTAACAAGCAAGACGCAAGGAGTTTCAGCTCTTTGCTTGTTTAGCATATTTCGAAACTGAGGATGGAGGCAGTAATTTCCTCCGAAATATATGTGACTTTCTAGCAGACTATACGACGTCACATCTCAGAACATAGTCACCGCTGTGAGAACCTCAAATCCAACATGTAAAATATTTCAACAATAACGTTGTGATCATAACCACAAGTTTCGTCGAAAATTATGTGGCCCCATATAATAAAATTCCTACGAGAATAGACCCAGTTATCTTACGTTGGTAATACATATGTTTCTTAAAGTTTTTTTATTAGCTTACTGGGGGGTGGAGTCCAACTGGGTCCACTCCGCACGGCGGCCACTGATTGGCCTATTGTAGCATGCCCCGGGTGATTATGATGATGGAGAATTTGGTGGAATGAAGATTGGCAGGGAAAATCGAAGTACTCGGAGAAAACCCGCCCCAGCGCCACTTCGTCCACCACAAATCCTATTTGACCAGCCCCGGGAACGAACCCGGGCCGCCGCGGTGGGAAGCCAGCGACTAACCGCTTGAGCTATGGCGATGTAGCGATGTGGTTATGACAACTAACCTCAAGTCATTCAGACGCGCCAGTGTAAATATTTTTTTTAGGAAATAAGGGAAATAATTCAGCGTTCTTTCATGCAGTCTTTCTTATGAAATCTGTATGCGTCTCCAGGTTTGTTTTTTGGAGTTGTAAAATTTATTTATTTATGTCCTAATAAAATCAGAAAATTACAATTTCATGTTAAAAGCAAGGTATATAAATGTAAGCAGTCACGGGTACATCAGGGGTGTCCACTCACATGTAACTCCCTAAATATTTATCAGAGGGAAAAATATTTCAAGAAAATTTCAAAAAAAAAAAAGGAAAAGATTTTTAACGCGTGTTTCTGTCTTAACATAATTTTTCCGCAACTCTTGCGTTTTCCGAGAGAATTAAGCCTAAAAAAGAGGAAGTTTTTGACTGGATGGACGTTGCCACCTGTCGGCTCTATGCTGTTCAAAAGAAAGCATTCGCAGTTCGAAAGCGCCAGAGTTACTATTTTTATTTTAACTTATTATCATTTCATTTCCTATTGGAAGCTGTTTCCACAGAGGGTATGAACCTGTAACAAATTTTAATAGTGAGATGCGAAGGACATCTCAGTTTGTTTAAGAACTAACCTGCTATTTGCCAGGATGTCGTGATGACCACCACAAAAACATTTAGTCAAAACACCTGTAGGCATTGTCGACTACTGTCAAGGTTCGAAGTGCTGTAGGACTATTTCTGACTCTAATACAGTGACTATATTCTGTATGTACACGTATGTTTGTATATTGATGCACTTAACGTAACATGGTCAAGCAAAAATGTAAAGGTAAAGTTGTCCCTGTGCTTAGCTAATTAAGCACTATACCATGAAGACGTATGTGGGAGTGGATGTATACATTCTATTTTTTTTTACCTCGGCTCTATTTGGGAGTGGTCAGCTTCACGCCCCGGCCGCTTTTCCCTGCAAAGAGCCCTCGGTACCAATTGAATAGGCTTGATGGGCCCCATAGCCGGTCACGACGGTATGGAGAAGTGAAAATTCTTACCAACATCGGGACTCGAACCCTGATCCCTTGGTCATTCTGTCCTTATCCAGCCGCTATACTGACTGCGCTATCGTGGCTGTAACTGGTTTCCATTTATAACATTTTCAGTTCCAAATTCTTCTCTGAATTTGAACATTAATTATAACTTACTTACTTTAAGCAATTTTCTGATAAGCCCTGCTAAAATCCTGTTGTCCGACTGTGTGGTTTTAGGAAGATGACTGTGAGTGGTAAGCAGGAGGAGATTGCAGTCTGTTTGAATATATCGTTCTGGAATATTCTTGAAGAAAGCAACGAATATCTCAATTTGGATCTCCGGTAACCCGACCTAGAATCAAACTGGGCAACTCCTAAATATAATTTAGGGGCATAATCACTACAATTGAGCAGTGTGAAATTGCTTTTTTCTTGGGTGAAAAATTATTGTATCGTGAACCCGTAAGAATGTAGCAGCAAAGCCTACCGTTAACGCTTGCATTAAATTTGAATGCACGGACGTAAGGGTACAACATTTTGTGTAATTCATGTTTATAATACGAAAGAACCTGGACAATTGTGTTCTTTATTATTGAAATGGCGAAAAGATAAAAACATCACAACTAACTTATGTTTTTATGTCCTTAAACTTATGCTCGCCGTGTCACGCTGTCTTGAAGTGAGCCGATGGAGTTCCTTAAACTACAAGATCACAAATAAAAGTACTTAGAAAGAACTCATCTGCGTGCGATGCATCATCAGGTGGACGGCTGGTTCCGATCTCATATTCTCCCGCTGTAACAACGTTGCCAGACTTCAGAGGCCAGGTGTAAAACTAGAATAAACCCTCTTTTGTAATCACCACAAAAGCATAGTCTTCTGTTTACAGTATGAGTTTGGATTTAGTCCATGTATTGATCCATATGTTGATGCTTGGATCATTCTGTTAACCATGTACAGGTCTGGTCTTATATTCGATTAATCTACCAGTTTCACTATGTAATTTAATTTAGGGCATTTTACACTATAAAAATATACCAGTGTAAACTCATCTGTCACTTCAGCGTAGCCGGGGTCTTTTCTGACAGAAGAAAAAAAAGGCGTAATGTGAAACTTACCATTCGCCTCCACACAGCAAAAGGTTAAGAAAGGTAAAGCTGTCCCTGTAACAGACCGTGAAGGCCCATAGGGTTGTGAGACGTCGAGGCAATCGGCTCACAGACGGTGGTAAGTTTGTCAGCCTTACGCGCCGGCCGCCCTTTAGTCCCAAGGAAGGCTACTGGTATTCATTTCAGTTAGAGGCTAAGTCGACCTCAGGGCCATATTTCGGCTGGGAGTATTAGGTCAACTGAAAAATCCAATGACCTCATCGGGAATCGAACCCTCAACCAACTCCGCTACCGCGTGCCCCAAGCCTACGCACAGTGCCAAGTTAAAGAAGCGTGTATCGTCGCTCTCGCGAGGTGGTTAGCAAAGGGTATACTTTTACATTCATGCTTACAGTTGGTGGTGTAGCTGTGAAGTTCTAAATTCTGGGAGGTTTGGTTCGAATCTCGGCTAGTTATCAGCTATTCTGAGTCATAAGCCTACCATGGATTTTTCAATTTTCGCGGGTGAATGCCAGGATGATATATCCGCCTACTTCGGCGTCCTTATTCGCTTACGAAGTACGAGTTTCTTAGCTTGGTAATTAATATGTATACCGACTGAGCTGCTAACTCGACTCATGAATGCTCAATAGCCTTCAGCAGAAAATAATAATCATGTTTCGAGTAACGATGTTTCCTCTGAAGAAGACAGCACACACACAGCCGAAGGTTTATGGTGGTATGAACCTGACATATGTGTAGAAATTATGTTTAGTTGTGTATTCTTAACTCAATCGGAAGACAAGTGTTGAGGAATATCAAATTACTAGTCCTCGGATTGGAAAAGTGAGAAGGTCTGGACGTAAAAAAAAGAAAGACATGGCAAACATGACAACTGCTTTGGCCTGGTATAAAATATATGTATTGTGTGGTACTTGACCATTCTGTTGTGAGACAGGCAGATTGGTAGCCACCGCCAGCTAGTCCAACAGTTTAAAACCAGTTTCCCTTATTCCTTAGCTCAGAACCTGCTTTAGTGGTACCCTTCTTGCAGTATCAGTCGCCTGTCATCCATCAAACACCACACTCAATGGCCCCATACATCTTGTCTTCCCTTCCTTTTTTTTTTTTTTTNTTGTAAGGAGGGAAGGCTACTGATTAAGTCCGATGAAGGGACTGGACCAGCAAGTTTGGGGACTTGTTGTGGTAGTTGGACTACGAGGTTGAGAGGGGAGTTTCGGAAGGCGGCACAGCATCAAAGCCACGACGGGGGCTGTCATCGTCACTAGCGCCATGGGTGGTAAAGGCTGACAGCATGAAACGCGGTGGTATTAGCGCTGCGTCATCGAGAAGTGGGGGGGATAGTGGGGATAGTACGACGATTGAGGAGTGGGGGAAGAATGGCGGGGAGGGTAGATGGCGTGGTGCACGGCGCACGAGTCACACTGAAGAGAGACTGGTGGAGTGCAGAGAGAAGAGGCTACTTGGGATGTGAAGGTGCGTTTGTATGTGGAATGAAGCGTTTCTGATTCGACGTTAGGAAATGATATAGTACACTGTGAAATATATATTTGCATCATATTCTTAAACTAATCTGTTTGCAGTTCTGTAATGTATGGGCACAATACTGTGAAATTTGTGTGTGGATATTAGTGAGGTTTTAGTTTGCGAGTTGTGTTGCAATATTTTTGTGGACAAGTGTGCTGTCTTTATCGAGTTGTAATTCCAAATGGTGGTCCTTGAAGGTGGAGGTATGTTGACCACCGGAAGCAATCAATATCTGCAGCCGGACTATCTTTCACCGCTTCCAACTACGGTAAGTTCCAATTCATGCAGTATTAACAATCGAAACTTGTAACAAGACATTGTAGCAGTGTGTTTCCACAAATGTTTCACGGTATCTGTGATTCAACTAAGATTGAAACAGCGTGACTGCTTACCAAATTTGGGGGGGGGATTAGTGGAAATTGCTGAAACAGAGTGTGACTGCTTACCAAATTTGGGGGGGATTAGTGGAAATTGCAGTTACAGGCAGTGTTTTTGCGTACCTCGTTTTGAGAACGTGAATTTGGTATATGAATGTTAAATCGTATATTGTCGAAATGTGAACATTCCAACCTCAAAACGCGTCCAGACCGCATATAACCGGAAATAATTTTGATTATTGTCGAAATCTGAACATTCCAACCTTGAAACGTGCACAGACCGCATATAACCGGAAATGACGGGGAAATAGATTAGTATTGCCAAAGAAACAGTAAAGTAATGCAAAACGAAAACATTAATTATTGTTGCGAACTTCGATCTGAAATTGTTTGCTGGTATGCCATGCCATTGAGTAGTTGCGCCTGTCCGGTGTTCAATAAAGTTAAGTGTTCGATACCTATCTTTATGCCGAAGTTGATAAAACAGCCTGTAGACAAAATCTACACCTATACACAATTTTCACATGTAACCAGCCAACGGAGCTGCCATGTAACGTTGAAAGGTACCATTTAATTGACAATGCAGTATACCATGTTCAGTTCGCAATAACATTAGTATAACTATTTCGATAAATTAAGATTATTTACCAGAACTATTTCTAGTTTCCGAGTAGTTCCATTGGAAGTGCGCGTACTTTTGGCTGGATTGTTTTGTAACATTCGTAGATTGGATTTTGTCACGGTTACTGCAACCAAATACCCCTTCAGTTTTAATACTTGGGCACTAGACTGTGTTTTTTATTTTTAAGATAGGGAGGTGTTAGTTTTGTGTGGGGTGATCAGTAATGTAAATGTTATCACCTCTGCAAGAACAATGACCACATTTGTAATGCAGGATCGGAATCCAATGTGCTTTCTTGCAGTTGGATGCGAAGAAGAGTCCGTTAGCCTTGCTAGCTCAGACTTGTAGCCAGATTGGAGCCGACACCCCCAACACTAAGCCGTTGATCCCGCCGTTGGAGAAGCCGAAGAAGACGGCTGTTGTGAGCGACAGTACTGGTGGGACTCCGCCGACCGGTGCCGGGCACAAGGCGGACAAGAACCCGGTGGCGCGCGCCAGCCCGGCCGAGCCCGCACGAGGAGCGGGCGGCCTAGCTTTCAAACCGTACGAGACCAACGTACTGAGTAAGAAGTCCGAGGATAATCGCCCACCCTCCAAAGCCGGTAGTGTCCATAATTCAGAGGGCGGTGAAGAAAAAAAATCGAACTCTGGGTCTCGTGCTCCGAGTCGCAAGTCGGTTTCACCTCCCACCAACAATGGTGCCACCCCCGGACCTGGCGAAGCTGGTAAAACTGCCTCTGGGCCATCCACAACCCCTGCCTCCACGACCGAACGTGGCAAATCTGTCTCTCCTGCTGATGGTGGCAACGAAGGAGCTAGTCCAATAATTAGATCCGGTCTAGAAATCCTTCATGGACATCCCAAGGATGTTCCACTTGGATCGTACAAGTCCGGAAGCGCCTTGTCCGGGGTTTCTGGTGGCCTCGGTGGTTCACTGGGTTCACTATGTTCCGGATGCCCTCCAGGTCTCGAACCGACGAACCCAGCTTTCCGACCACCGTTCGCCGGAGGTCCGTTTTCTCACCACCACGCAGCACTGCTCGCCGCTGGGTACCCATCAACAGCACCGGGCCCGTACGTTCACTACGCCCGAGTTAAGACGGCTTCCGGAGGCGAGGCCCTTGTGCCTGTGTGCAAGGACCCCTACTGTACTGGGTGTCAGTACAACGCGCACCAACAGTTGCTGCTCGGCGGCTCCTCGGCGGCGCCCTGCCCCAGTGGATGCACCCAGTGCGACCACCAAAAGTACGGTCTTGCGGCAGCAGCAGCTTTGTCGGGTCTCATGCCTCCTGGACCCGTGCCACCCCCGCCCCCACTGTCTTACACTCATCAGCTTGGTCGACCATACGTGTGCAATTGGATTGCCGGCGACACGTACTGCGGCAAGAGGTTCACCACTTCGGATGAGCTTCTGCAGCACCTGAGGACACATACTAGTCTCGCCACTGCTGCAGACAGTGCCGCCGCTACCGCAGCAGCTGCCGCCGCCGCCGCTGCGTCATCTGCCCCCATGTCCTTGCTCAGCCACCACACGTTCCTGTCTTCGTCCGCCGCTCTGCACCGTGCTGCCGCTGGATATCCCAATCCGCCCCTGAGTCCACTATCTGCCGCCAGGTACCACCCCTATTCCAAGCCGGGACTCCCAGCCTCCTTAGCAGCCTCGCCTTTCAGTGCATTCAACCCTACCGCGTTAGGTCCCTACTACACTCCATATTCCATCTATGGGCAACGAATTGGCGCTGCGGCAGTCCATCCATGAGTACCCACAACTGCACCGTGTGAAGGATACGCCTGAGTCGTCATAGTTTGTTTTTTTTAATTCAGGATGACCCGGAAGACATTTTGTGAAAGTATTTTTAATCCTAAAGAAAATAATTGTCATATTTAAGTTTCAGAAATCTCTCCGTGAAGAAAGCTTTATTATTATTTCAGTCCATATATAATTTATTATGAGAAATACCTTAAATGTTGAAATGTGTACGCGCTGTTTCATGAAATGTGATTGGACTTTACATCTGGGCGACAACGCTTTCCATAAATGATGCTGTGATATTTCTTGATTTAATGTGCCGTGTTAGTAGTGTGATCTGTTGAAAGGATTCATTACGAATTATTTAAATATAACGAAAGGCCTTCCAGCAAGTAAGAAAAGAACTTTTTATGAAGAAGACAGACATCCCAAACAAGTGCGTGCGTGCGTGCGGTATAAAAATGGCGTTGTCTCTTTCTTATGGCTCTCTGATAGTAATATTATTTTGTGAGGAAAGTTGGCGTTACATATTTTTAAAGTGGATTATCTGTATATTATCATCATCATCTGTAGAACCGATATCCCATTCACCATGTTCAACCTGAACAACGAGCGATTGACTGCATAAAGTAGGTAGCCTATGAGAGGTATTGTACACAAAATATGACACTACATTACAAACAATACAGTCATTTTTAGTAGCCCTTACTCTATTTTCCAAGTGGAACAATATAATATATAGCATTTTACCCCATTTTTTTATTTCAGAAAAATATTGTCCATCCCTTTTTTCTCTCTTGACATATCCATGTAAATAAATGTAAATAATGTTGAGTTTCCATATTGCTTTAATAAAATGTTGTTTGTAGAATTAATTATGTTAACTCGTATTATGTGTATGCAGAATTAACCTATTTGTCATATTAATTCCCCCCTTAAATATTCCAGTGAATTTTCCTGAGCAAATTTATATGCAATATGGAGCAAAATATTCCAGTGCAAAGCATATAATTTTCCTAAGATATATGGTGTAACAGAGCTAGAGTTATTGTAGAACAGTAAAGTACGATCCTACAGTTTATTTATTTGGCAAAAGTGAAAAACAACGAGCTCTCATAAAGCGGAAGAAATATTACCGTGTGTATCGGTTCAGTCTTTTTGCTGACTTTGGGATCAAAACCATTCTCGTAGTCTGCATGATTCAGAATGCCGCGATGAAAATGCCTTCTCATCTGACAAGGAAAGGAGGCAGTTATACAAGAAGTCTGTAATGGACAGGGATAGTAACATCGTGTAATTTTGTGACTGTAAAGTCGATTTAAAGACAGACCAAAGTGAAAAACTATTCTAGAATCAGACATGCAGAACATTTACGTGTTTTCTAATTTTAGAGTGTAATGGGACCCTTAATTACTAGAAGGTTGATTTAAATGTGGATTTCATGACATGGCAGAACCAGTCCTGATCGTCCGAGCAGCCGCGTTTAATAAAGTGCAACACAGCTCATGTCTCGCATGATAGCCTTTGGCTGCGCAGTAACCAAACCAAGTCTATGTTTACGTGACGTGGATTGCATATAAATTAGTTTCAAAATTATGTAGTTAATTATGCGGGGGGACAATTATGAAAACGACTTTTTAGGGTATGATAGTGGGGGTAGGGGTATAGTTATTACCGTGGGCATTGACAGGAGAAAGGGACGCATCACTGCTTTGGATAAGCTGTTGGCTTGGGAGCCATCGTGTTTTATTATGATGAGCATGATAACGTGACAGCTGATAGTTAGAGGACCCCATGCTGGGTGTCAACCGAACTGCAGCAGCCATCCGTGCCTGTCATGATAGTTGAGTTGTATAGGGGCTGTCAGGCGATCTGTTGGGTCGGCGGAGGCAGTGTTTCGATCCATTCCCTTGCATGACCATGCGGGAGGGGTTGAGGACATGTCATTAGCAATGTCATAACTTGTCCATTTGTGACAGAAACATGATAACTGCCAGATGGGCTGTCCTGAATGAACAAAAAATTATATGGAGGGCAAAAAAGTTTATATAGGACAGCCGTGTTATCTTTTAAAGTGTGTCACTCAAAACTACAGCAGTAAGAGCTGGTGGGAACCTGACTTTTTTATATTGACAGTTGAAACATGACTGCGTACACAGATCTATCTGTCAAACCGGCAACAGACTGAATGTGTGTGCATTCTGTGAAGTTTGCCTCGTCCCCTCCAGTAATACTGATTTATTTTGCGGTAACCAGTGGTGTAACACTGAAGCCTCGGATACTGTCCCGGGTGGACCAAGCGAGACTGGAACAGCCTACCGTCGAGTTTATTGACCAATAATATTGTCACGTGTTAGTGACTAAACACGGGGTTTGGATTGTTAATTGAAATTATTGAGCGTTTATAAAACTCATAACTACAAATAATTATCTTCACACTTAATAAATCACTACAGCACACGCTGTTATAGTCTTCACTAGTCGTTGATCAGTTACGGTTCCCAACGCCCGAGATTTTTCTGTCGTGTTTACGGCGTTGCAGGCCGGCTACCATATCACAACTAACCTACTGATCCAACTGTCTACTCTCCACTCATGACTGACTATCGACTCGGCTGCTTTCTTCGTTATATAACCTTGGCACGAACCGCATAGAATACACCGCTTCCAAGAACTCGTTTGTTGCGTATTCATGGCAGCGGGAACGTGTTCGTCGATCTGTTATCAAGAATTGACGGTCTTCTTTTATCATGTCACAAAATTATTCCACTGTACTCGTCTCTTACGACCACAGGGATGTGATAGCACTAACTAGGTATCAGTTTTTCACATCCTCAGTTATAAGTTTATGTGTCGAGTCTGACCCGGCGCTTGCGTGGTTGTAAAGTGGCTAATTGCGTACATGACTACACGACCATTTGAAAAATTTATGGTATAATGGATTTTTTTTTATTCCTTAACCTTCCAGAAATACGAAAGCAGTGAGTGGACGTACCATACCAAGGTAAGAATGTTCAGTCCCAGGCATACAGTGTTTTCACTATATGACGATGCTATGCCGCCGTTAAGTCTGTTGGATTCCTCGATAAACTCAGCTCAGCCGTTTTCCAAGTACCAAAGCGCCATAAATTGAAGATCCTCTAGAAGGAAATAGTGATCATTTTTGCGAATTAACTCATCTCGTAGGCTTTTAGATCTATCTTAAATATTCCATTCATATGTACAGCCATGTATTGTAAGTTAATGTGCTCAGCATACCGCTCATAATCCTACAGAATCCTATGAATTCGGGAAATGAAGACCCTATATTCAAAGACTGCGCTTTCCAATTCATAAACTTATGCTTCTAATTACCCGTAGTGGAAGCATTTTGCGTGAAGCAGATCTCGTTTATCAGAAATTTGGCAAATACGGTACAATACGTTGTATCTTTATTCCTGAGTCTTCGTTGTACCAGATTGTATCCGAAAGTGGTAAAAATTTATGAAACAGTCTTTTTATCGGTACAGGAATCCAATAACTGTAATGACGTTTGTGTTTTAAGTAGCATGTATTTTAACATACTTGGTTCATTTATGGTGAGCATAACTATCCATATATTGAAACTAAGTGGAGTAATTGTTAACTTCAGCTGCAAGAAACATGTTACGGCTAACATTTCAGCTAAGATATTTCCAGGAAAAAAAAAATCTTGTGCTTAGGCTTGGTCTTACAGTGGAAGTGGAGAGAAAGAGCTTCAGCCGTCTTTACTCTGGAGAAATAGCGTCTCATTGCATAAACACTAAAATTATTCTGAACTATATTTTTCATGTCGAAGTTGAAGTAATTAAATTAATTCGCTGAATGACTTCTGAAGCTAAATGTATAATGAATGTTGGAAATTTTGGAAAGTTTGAGTGCCAAGTCAATCAGAGGTAAGTGGGTTTAAAGATCGTACTTTCTTCGCAGCTGAGAGATGAGATATCACAGCTTCATTACAGGAATTTCCCATGACCTATAGTTCATACTCTGTAATTAACTGTGAGACACTGACACACAAAAGAGGATAGATTTGGCCCAAACAGAGTTAAGTCCAACAAACTCTGTGCCGAATTCCAGCATATTTCAGTTCGAATTTAAACGCACCAGTGGTTCAATTAGAGGCAATATTAAAAGGCACTGAGTCTAGATTTTTAATCTATTAAGGCATGTTTGTAGTTTATTTAACGAAGCTACCAGTAACTCAGATTATAGAGTGCCGAATATTTGGGTGGTCAGTGAATAATGAACTGGGAATGATTTGAAAGGAAGTGATAGCGACTTGTTTTAAGGTCTAAATATTGTGGCGTATGCACCACTTGCTAGGCAACGACTGCGAAACGAGACTGGCCGTTGCTAGCCACCATCCCGCGCCCAACAATGAAGTACTGTTGGAGGAGGTGTTTTCTATGTGGTCCATCCGAAGCTATAACACGCCACCGACCGAGTTCAGTCCAGTTAGAGTGAGTGTAGTCAGTGAAGAGAAAAGTAGAAGATTGGTGTGAGGTGGCCGCCAGCTTGGGAATTAAGTCAACTGGAGCACGAGTCAGTTGTGAGACATTCGCCGGAGAGTAAAGACGTGAGCAGAGGACATGGTTGGGATCCGTTGCCAAGAAAGGGCTAGTGAAAGATTGAGAAAACTTAGAGTTTGGTCTAGTGATTGTAAAGTGTGTAAATTAGCAATGGCGCTGTAGTTACTTGTAGTTACAATCTGTAAGTGGTCAATAAATCCAATCACCTATCCAAAACCCATCTACATTCACACTAGCACGTGACAGTGTAATAGCAAACAAAACCAAGGACATCTCTTAACAAACATTCAAAACGGTTCATAGGGTCCCTGTATAAGTCATACACTTGTAATCAAAATTAAGTAACCTCGAGTATTATTATAAAATAAAGTGACCACTATAGGCGCAACAGTAATATAAATAGTACGCATTTAAAAATCATGCAGTTGGCACCCCATGCAAAAAAAAAAAAAAGGACGCTGAATGCAACAGTGTCAATGCATACAGTTGCTTTCATTTTGTTCCTCCACCAAAGTCCAGATATTTATTATCTGACGGATCCATATTTACGTACTAACGAAGACCAATTTCGATTGTTCACATAACATTTTGCAGTATTACAACCTTAGTGTTCCTCATCATTTGGAATCAAACATTAGGCCTATGTAACTTGTGAGGCCGGTCGCAGTAGCCGAGCAGTCTAAGGCGTGCACTGTCTTCGCTCTCTCGGAAGCCGGGATCGTGGGTTCGACTCCCACTTAGGGCATAGATATTCAGTGTTTTGTGTGTGTGTGTGTATTTTCTGTGTTTGTGTACAAGTGGAGGCCTTGCGACGAGCTGATCAACCACCCAAGGAGTCCTACCGAATGTCTAAGATATAGTAAACCGTAGTGAAGCGGGGAGTTTCATGGAGGTAGGCCAAGGCCCATATTGGGGCTGTAGCGCCAAAAGAAAAAAAATGTCACTTGTGATCCTGAATTGAAAGGGGCAGCCGATTTTTGGTTTAATTTCAGATCATATTATCCTGCATCACATTTCACAGAGACGCAATTTTGTGACATATTTCGTCTCTAATTTTGTATAAGACAGAAAATAAGAAGAAAACACTAGATATGTGAACAAGGCGCTACATAAATATAGCATATTTCATATTATAAAGCTCGTTTAAATTTCAACGGGAAATTGTTAAAAACAGACGTCCTCAGAAATGGAATATCACAATAACTTGAAGATTTTCGGAAAGACAACTACATTTACTCTACGAGGTGCTGCTGTCTAAAGGAAATGTTTTCGGTCAAGATTTACCATAAAAACAAATTTCTAGCCCGGTGAAAGTCAA